TATATATATATATTAATTGAATAATATATAAATTAATATAAATGTATATATATATATTAATTTATATTAATTGAATAATATTTAATTTATATTAATTTATATATTATTCAATTAATATATATATATATATCTATTATATTTTAATAATTTATAATTTTATAATTTAATAATTTGTAAATATAATAAATTAAAGTTTTAATAATTTATAATTTTAGAAAGTTTAAATTTATAATAAGTTAAAATTTGAAGAAGTTATAATTTTATTAAGTTTTACTTTTAATAAGTTACAATTTTAGAAAGTTTATATTTATAAAAAAAAATCAAATTTAAAAATAATAATTTTAATATGTAATTTTTATAATAAATTAGAAATTTAATAAATAATAATTTTAATACGTTATATTTTTAATAAATTAGAAATATAATAAATAATAAATATAATAAGTTATATTTATGTGTGTATTTAGAAAAATATTAATAAAATATATAATTTAAATATCTTTATAATTAGTAAATATAATAAATTAGTGTGTAATAAATATATTAATTATAATTATAATAATGTATAAATTTAATAATGTATAATGTTAATAATTTATAATAATTATAATTTATAATTTAATAATTTATAATATTAATAACTTTATTACATTGATAAAGAGACAGGGTGCATTAAAAGTAAAAATTCATAACATTAAGATAGAGTGAATTATATAAGGTTTTTAATCTCTGTAATGGTGTCCAGTTCCACAACGAGGGCGACGTCTGTTGCGGACGGGGTTACGCCGTGGAGGTTATTGCTCAACAGGATTTGGATCATCAAGCACTGGTTGTTGGAATGCAATTGAAGAACTATCAGGTTTATTAGCGAATTCTGGTTGCATGTATGACTATGTTGCAGATAGAGTTCTACAATCTACTCCAAATAAATTTGTAAAAAAAATCCTCTGAAATTGTTGCAAACGAATTTCTTCTATCAATTATGTTTTCTTGTGGTGTGATGTTGTGTGGAGAATTTGATACATGCTGATGAGTCTCTTTATACGACAACATGGAAGTCGCACCGGTTTCAAATGTTGTGGAAGTCCTTCGTTGTGGCTGGGTCCTTGGATCTTGTAAAAGTCGTGACACATATAGGAAATAGATGGAATTGACTATGTACCATTCCATGTATTCTCGTGTGTGAAACAATGGGCCTTGCATTGGATGACCCATTAATGTGTGCTCACGTCTATTGTTTCACATGTCGATCCATTGAGCATGTCTTATAACCCAATTTTCATATTGTCTTCCCCTCATGTCAATTTTGTGTAGGTTATCCAAATTATTGGGTGGAGAAGGGACATCTTGGAAGAGACAAAATTACAATTTCACGCTATCCGATTGGTGCCATTCAACAATTGCAAAACAAATTCTGGGGGTACATGAAGTGTACAGTTGGGCACCTCTATATGCTTGCATGGGTATTGATGTTTGCAAGACATGATATGGAGCCCATAAAAACTACAAATAATTTAAACTTTGTTAGTTAAGAGAATATGCTAAACAAAAGAAAATAAGAAAAATAAAACTTTGTTATGAAGAGTTACCTGATCAGCCTGAATGTGATCAAACCTTGATCTGTATCCGACAACATCATTATGAGGTACACTTCAAAAGTTTAGTACTCTACCCCTGCTCCATTTGCAGACCAAAGGGAATGTTGGTGGTACTTTGGAAATTGGCGCAATATATGGCATGCGATGCCATGCTCAAGATTGTAACAATGATGCACAACCACCCATTGTTCTGCTCGTAACATCTATGGCTTTACACATTTTCCTGTATAACGTAGCTAAACAAGAAGACCCCCAACTATATCGTCTTGTTCTTCTAAGATTTATTAATAAAGATAAATACATAAGATATACCTTATTTCCTGTTTTGTCAAGCATCAAAATACCTCCTATTAAACCTAATATATATGCCCTACAATGTGCATGAAGTTCTTCTTGAGATGGTTCCTCTGGTAATTCCAACATATTTTCTCTTAACCACTTTAGCTTGATCATAGAGCTAATTAGTGACTCTCCTTTAACTAGCACAATACCAAGATACGTGGAACACATATCCTCCCAATCATATAATGTTGGGCCAATGACTGGTAAACCATCAACTCTTAGGTTGAGTTGAATTGCAACATCCTCCAGTGTTATCGTGCACTCACCTGTTGGAAAATGGAAGGTGTGAGTCTCAAGTCTCCATCTTTCAACCAAAGTTGTCACCAATGCATGATCCACCTTGAGATGCCTGAGGTTTGCAACCCTAGAAAAACTAACTTCCTCTAGTATAGGAACAATTAGAGGGTGGGGTTCTGGCATTGAATGACAGTAAGAGGAAATAATATTTTCAGTTTCCTGCAATGATTAACAAAAATAGTACCATTATATGTAAGAGGTTCATTGAAATTTTAAGCAAATAACGATGGTGTTCAACTTACCGTTCTACCAATGAAGGCAGATCTGTGTTCATTTTGCTTCCACAACAATATTTTTGGTATTTGATAACTGAGAATCGAAACAAAGAACGATGCAATTGAGAATGGAACTTTGAAACAAATCAAATAAGAATGGAACTAAGAATGATAGTTACTTTGATAGTTAACATGGTTATTTATAGAGGTGTTATGATTGAGCTGGAGAGACACTTGCATTGGATTCCTGAAGTTGTAATTACATTATTAGCCACAGTCTAAGTCTGAGCTTCAAGTCTTTTGAGATAAGGTTCCCATCATTATTATCTCTGAAGGTGTGACTAACATGTGTTGTAATGTGGACAGAGGGAATCAATGCGGTGAAGGCGTCACTAACATGTGTTGTAATGTGGACAGAGGGAATCAATACTTTGAAGGCGTGACTGACATATGTTGTAACGTGGACGAGGGAATTAATGCTCTAAAAGGGTGACTGACATGTCCTTATCATTGACAAAGGTAGGACCCACATGGTACAATTTGCGTTTAGAGTAATTTATTGAGATTTAGGGCTAACTAGTTTGATAAGTTACAAATTTTTTTGACTTCTGAAACTTGTACCGTTGGATTTGTTGATATGAAAACTATAGATATAAGTGGGTTGGTTAGGGTTTTTGGGTAAAATTTTCCAATTTAGGGCTAAGGTAAGGGTTATGGTTAGGGTTAGGGTTGGGTTAGGGTTAGGGTTAGTCATAGTGTTTAGTGTTATGCTTAGGGTTAGGGTTAAGGCCTAGGGAATCATTCCCTCTTCAGAATACGTGCACTAATGTGTGGGGCCCAGGGAATCAATTCCTTCTAACGCGTGGGGCGCAGGGAACTAATGTTTGAATGAAGGAGTCACCTTCTCCTCCCCATCTACAAAATTAGTTCGTATTAAGAGAGGAATTACTCTAGAAAGGCTATAGAAAGTCATCCACATAAAGCTACATCGACAAGATTATGAAAGGGTTACTAGCATACATTTTCGCTACCCTATTAGACTTGGCCCAGGGGTTAGTAACTACACTTGTGTTGAGTTGGCTGATGATGAAGACGTTGAGACACTTTTCAATGTTCACGATTCTAATCAACTCCAATCAGATATTGAATTATATGCTACCTTTACTACAATTGAATCACATCCACCACAAGGTTCACCTTCACCTTCACCTTCACCTTACAAAATTTACCAAACTTACCAAAACACAAACCCCTCTGGTACTTCTCATGATATTCCCTCTAATTACGACATTGAGTCATACACAACTTTTAACTGGTCCATTCATGAACCTTAATCAAATACCTTCTCAGCCATTCGACCAAGCTACACCCTCTCCGTCTCAACCAAATGTTCAAACCAACATTCAAGAACATCTTGTTGTTGGTCTCCCAACTGAAAATGTCTTTGATCCTTTTAGCGAGGATAAAGACGAAATTCTCTCTCAACCTCAACATGATGATGAAGAAGAAACACTCTCAGTTCCAATTAAACCACCAATAGAACCATTACCCATATACAACCCACCTCCACAATTTTTAGACTTCTCCAATGAAATCCAACAACATGACATTGAGTATAGCCATCTCCTGGAACGTGAAATGGTTGTGTATCCACCTAGAACACTTTTTGTTGGCCAACACTTCCAAACAAAAGAACAAGTGCAAGACGCCATCAACAGATTTCACATCGTCAACCACTGCACTTACAAGGATAAGTTGTCAAGCACTATTAGAATTGTCATGGAATGCATTCACGACGAATGTGCCTGAAGAGTCGTGCTATATTGCGCACCAGGGAACAACATTAAGAAATCATGATCCTTGAAGGCCCCCACACATGTGTTTCCCCACTCATCTCCCAAGATCATAATAAATTAGAATCACGAATGTTTCTCAAACCATTCGTGTTGAACCATCCACACCCGTCTCAACCATCATAGCCCACATTAAGTTGACCATGGGTTATACTATCAGCTACAGAAAAGGATGGTTAGGGAAGCAACATGCCATTGAAAGCATCTTTGGCAACTGGGAGGAGTTATACAACAAGTTACCAGGTATGTTGCAAGCAATGCAAATGTTTGTTCCGGCCTTTATCTGGAAATTAAATATGCAACCGACAAACCAAGGTGGCTTATTAGCTAACATAAGTTAGAATCTCAGGACCCACTCGAAGAAATCAATCTGGGAACTGTCGAAAATAAGAAGGTTACTTATATTAGAAAACTCTTGCAAGGAAAGCTGAAGGAGGAATTAATTCGAGTATTGCATGAATATAAAGACTGCTTTGCATGGGATTACGATGAAATGCCGGGATTGGATCGAGGATTGGTAGAGCATAGGTTACCTATGATGCCTGGAAAGAAACCTGTTAAGCAAAGCCCTCGAAGGTTCGCTCTTGAAGTAATCGAAAAGATAAAAGAAGAAATCGAGGGGTTATTGAAAGCAAAGTTCATCAGAACCTCAAGATATGTTGAGTGGATATCGAATATCGTGCTCATTATAAAAAAGAATGGAAAACTCAGGGTATGCATCAATTTTCGAGATCTCAATACAGCTACCCCCAAGGATGAGTATCCTATGCCTATTGCTGAGACTATGATAGATGTTGCTGCAGGTAATGAAATTATGAGTTTACTTGATGGTTATTCTGGATATAACCAAATTTATATTGCAGCTAATGACGTATCGAAAACTGCTTTTCGATGTCCAGGTGCTTTAGGCGTGTATGAATGGGTGATGATGCCATTTGGAATGAAAAACGCAGGTGCTACTTATCAGAGGGAAATGAATTTAATATTCCATGATTTAATTGGTAAGTTTGTACAAGTGTATATTGACGATATAATTGTTGGGTCAAAACGAAAAAAGGAGCACTTATGCCATTTAAGATTATCTTTCGAGAGAATGAGGAAACATGGTCTAAAAATGAATCCACTAAAATGTGCTTTTGGTGTTACAGCAGGAGAGTTTCTGGGATTTGTCATACACCAGAAAGGGATCGAAGTTGATAGAAACAAAACTAAAGCTATCATGGAAACTAGACCTCCATCGAAAAAAAAAGAGCTTCAATCTCTCCTAGGTAAAGTAAATTTTCTTAGAAGATTCATATCGAATTTATCTGGTAAAATTAAAGTGTTTACTCCTCTATTGCGTCTGAAAAAGGAGGAGGAATTTCGATGGGATGAAGAGCACCAGAAAGCGTTCGATGAAATCAAAGCTTATTTGGCTCATCCTCCAGTGCTTGCACCACCCTCTAAAGGAAAACAACTGAAGTTGTACATTTTGGCTAGCGATTCGACTGTTGCAGGCATGCTGGCGCAAGATGATGATAATGACATCGAAAGAGTCATTTATTATTTAAGTTGAATGTTAGTAGGAGCTGAGAATAGATATACTCCTTTAGAGAAATTATGTTTAAGTCTTTATGTTGCTTGTACAAAGTTGAAGTATTATCTTAGACCCTGTGATGTTGTAATATTTTTGTCGAAGTAATGTTATTAAGTATATGTTGTGTAAACCTATCTTACATAACTGAATATTCATTAAATTTTGAGCCTTTAAAATCCACGAATGGACAAGTAGTTGCAGATTTTCTCGTGGATCATTCGAAAAAAACTGAAGAAATCAATTACGTAAATACCAAACCTTGGGAATTATTTTTCGATGGATCGAAACATGAACTAGGCACTGGGATAGGTTTATTGATAATTTCTCCTGAAAGAATTCCAACTAAGTTGTCATTAAAAATGAACAGAGGGTACTCAAATAATGAAACTGAATATCAAGCGCTTATTACTGGTCTCGAGATCCTTGAAGAGTTAGGTGCTAAGAAAGTGGTAATTCGAGGAGATTCACAACTCGTTATTAAACAACTAACTCAGGAGTATAAGGGTTTGAATGAAAAATTAATCGAATTCAAGACTCGAGCTGTGCAATTACTAAACGCATTCGATGAAGTCGAATTACAACCTGTTTCTCGACATGCGAATACCATCGCAAATGAATTGGCTCAGGCGGCATCAGGATATAAAGTAAGTAAGGAATGTCTCGAATCTCTGATTCACACAGAGAATGAATTGGTATGTGATCTAGAGAATCTAAGTGTTAGCTCATGGAGCCAGCAAGATTGGAGGAGAGAATTGGTCGAGTACCTGCAAAATCCAAATTTGAAAGTCGAAAGAAAAATCAAACTCCAAGCCCTCAATTATGTCTTGCTAAACAATGAATTATATAAAAAAGGTTTTGATGGGATTCTGTTTAAATGTCTCAGAATCCATGAGAGTTATATTGCTATGGCAGAAGTACATGAAGGCATCTGTGGAGCACATCAAGCAGGTAATGAGATGAAGTGGACCTTGTCGAGAAAGGGTCTCTATTGGCCAACCATGATTAAAGATTGTATACAATTCGCAAAAAGCTGTGAGGAATGTCAAAGACATGGACCAATACAAAGGGTACTAGCAAGTGAATTACATTCGATCATTAAGCCCTGGCCATTTCGAGGTTGGGCAATTGATATAATAGGGCAAATTCATCCATCCTCCTCGAAAAATCATAAATATATATTAGTTGCCATAGATTATTTCACAAAATGGGTTGAGGCAATTCCTTTGAAGGAGGTTGAGCAAAAAGACATAATTGATTTTGTCGAAGATCATATTATAACGAGGTTTGGAATTCCCCAAACAATTATCACTGATCAAGACACAGTTTTTACGGGTCGAAAGGTTGCTCAATATGCTCAATCATAGGGAATTAAGTTAATAACTTCGACACCATACTATGCACAAGCAAATGGACAAGTAGAGGCTGCTAATAAACTTATTATCAGTTTGATTAAGAAGCATATCTCGAGCAAGCCTCGAAATTGGCACGAAACTCTTGTTCAAGTGTTATGGGCTTACAGAAATTCACCAAGAGATGCCACAAAAACTACCCCATACAAACTGGTGTATGGGCACGAGGCTATTCTTCCTATAGATATTAATTTGCAATCAATTCACATACAGAAACAGAATGACTTGCCTATCGAGGATTATTGGAATTTAATGTATGACAAGTTAATATCTTTAGAGGAAGAAGGGTTGATAGCATTACAAAATCTTGTTCAACAAAAGGAAAGAATCGAGAAAACATACAATAAAAGAGTCAAAATGCGTAGTTTTCGAGTTGGAGACTTAGTGTTAAAAGTGATTCTTCCCATGGATCAGAAATCTTGACGTTTGGGAAAGTGGTCTTATAATTGGGAAGGCCCCTTTATAATCGAGCAAGTATATTCGAAAAATGCATATGTGATTAAAGAAATAAACTCGAATACAGCAACTAAAGTGATTAATGAGAAGTACTTGAAATATTTTTATAAAAGGTCAGAATATTAAGTCACAGATCCAGCATAAACCCAAGAAAATTAAATCAAGGTTCAGAAATTTAATTATTACAAAACTTGGACTTAAAATCCCTATAAGTTTGATAAGCTTCGTCCAAACTTTGTTTCCGAGTAGCACACTGAGCCTCTAGGTGTTTCTTCTGCTCGAGGGTCTTTGCAAGCCTAGAAGAAATCACCTTGCCTTCTTCTTTGAGGTTCTTTTGACGTTGAATAACCTCTTGGCTTTGAGCCTTTAGAGTAGTTTGTTTCGAGCGGAGGTTATTCAGCTCGTTTTGTAAGGCCTCGATTGACGCTGTGCAATCTACCTCCTCTTGTTGTAGTTTCTTCAAAGCAGAAATCATCTCTTTGGTAGATTTTCTGATGGAAATCAGTTCCTATCGAAGAGTCTCAAGCTTGGTACGATCCCCCTCGCTCTCGACTTCGATTTGAGCCACCTCTTGGAATGAGGTGGACCATTTGGACTGGAACGGCTTGATAAACTCTTGAAGTTTGAGGTGAACCGCAGGAGGGAGGTCTGGGTAGGATAGCAAGTCATCGATCATCTGTTGAACCTCAATTTTGAATTCCGGGAGAATAAAGGCTTGGTCGAGATCTTCCACATATGCCTTCGACCGAAAAGATTCTAGCAGAGGTTGAAAAGTGAGAGGTGGCTGAGAAATTGGTTTAGGAACCTTCTCTGAAGCGGAGGTGCCACTGGTCCAATTTTCGAGAACATCGAAAATGTTGTTGACCTCGTCATCATCTTCATGAAAGAAACTTATCAAATCTAGATCCATAAAAGGGATCGAAGACAGTGGTGGCACTGAAGACTCGACACCTCCTTGGGCAGATTCGACACCACCCTAGGTCGAAGGAGAAGTGGTAAAAGGCCTAGGAGACTCAGTTGAATCTGCATAGAGAAAAAGGAAAATATAAGAACCAATATAAGAAACATAGTTCTTGATGAAAGATGATGAGAATATACCTTTATTTGGACTGAAAGGAGGCTTAAGCTCGAAAGAATGAGCTTCACCTTGCGAGGATTGTTGGAGAGTTTCCATATTCACCACAGGCTCTAAGGAAGGAATCTTCCCATCATCAACTTGAGGGGGAATCTCTATTGAGGCCATTATCGAGGCCATCTCAGCAACATTTAGTTGAGGAGTTGCCAACTGCAAACAAGTGATGAGATTAGAAGAAAAGACTAAGGAAAGATATAGAAAAATGAAAGATGAGCAAAAGGCGAACCTGTTGAGATACCCCAGTAACAGGAGGAATATCTATGGACATTTCCCGAGAGGAGTCGACTTGGATTATCTCGACATCCTGTGATGAGCAAGGATCTCAGAAAAGTCGAAGAAACATGAAAACTGAATCGAAATTAAAAATGAAAATACCTTGGGGACTGATTTCATAGCATCCTTGAGAAGTTTCTCGACAGGAGGCTTTTGAGTCTTCTTAGGGAGAGGAATCACTAATTTCCCATTCCCTTTATCCGGTTTTTTCGTGGTCGAAACCTGAAAATAGAATGAAAATCGTTATGGTCGAGACTTAAAATAGAGAGTGAGAGGAAGAGAGAATGTAAAGACGAAAATGAATTACTCACAGTCTTGGTGTTTGATGAATCGGCTTTTTGTTTTTTAGAGGTTTCGAGGCTCTGAGAATACGAGAAGAATCAGAGAAAGAATGGATGCGTAAATCCAAAATTCGATTAAAAGTGTAGATCGAAAAGAGTGGTACCTTAGAGCGTAGAGAAACCTTGTCAGAAGCAGTCTTTCTTTTTCGACTCTTCAGTGAAGACCCCTTACCTTCATCCTCATCACTTTCCCAATTGGGAGTCTTTTCAACATGTTGAGGAACACGTTGAGGGATAGCAGCTACATAACACAAGTTAAGGATGAGATGAGTATAACATGGAATTCGAGAAACTTTCTTAGTTATAGTCATTTACCAGGAGGAGGATTGGTATTATCGACCCAACACAATGGCCACCATCTTCTTCGAGGAAAATCGTACACGGAACATATCGCATAGGTAACTCGATTCTTTACGAGAATCTCTTTATGCTCAAGGTAAAATGGGTCGAGTGTCTTCACCCAAGGAGGGCGAGATAAATGTTTGACTAAACCAAAAAGAGCATTTGGAAGAGGAGGTATATTTTTTGGACAAAATTTTTCAAAATCAGTTTTGCCTCGACGATTAATTACCTTTTTCGAGCGGATGTTCCTTTGTACCATTTTCGATAAAGAAATAGTTGCATCAAAGATGGTTCGACCAATATTGTCAGGTCGATAACAGACTTTAAAAAATTGCTCGAATTGATAAATAATAGTTTGGTTGTTGTAAGTACCTGATTGTTTCGGGCCCTGCGAAGAAAGGGGAGAATTAATCATCTTCCTCAAAAAATCATCAAAGTTGAGAACTTTATCTACATAATATTGACACCACCATCGAAGATAACACTTTGAAACTAAGAAGGAGGGAGAAAAATTGCATGGGGTGAGCTTAAGTTTTTTATCAGAACGTAGGATGAAATCCAAAACTTCCTGATAGTCCCCTTTTTCAACACAGATATCAGCGTCGATACTTTCCTTACGTCGAAGGGGGAGAGGTTTCATTTGGAAAAGACCAAACTGCCGAGCAAGAAGTTGAGGTTGATAAGGATAGATCCTAACATCCTTTTGACGCATGCCAGATATTATTATATCCCAAGAAAGGAACTCGAACCACATTTCGAGAGAATCCGGAGAAATTTGCCCAACTTGATTATTCTGTCGAAGCCAAGGGGGGCCTAGCAAAGTAGTACTTATGAAAGGGGCCAAGTCTTCACTAAATTCAGTAAAGCTAAGAATAGCATCAATGTACTTCGCGAAATTGTTGACTGAATGCTTGCGAGGAGTAAGTGTGGTCAAACGGGCTCCTTCGAGGTCACACATTGGGGCAAAAGATGAAGTCAAAGAAAGTCTCTTCTCGAAAATTGTGTTGAGCCACAATTGAAGCAACCACAGTGGTCCAGAGAGATTACGAGGGCCTGATTCACGGGAAAGACTTTCCGAAGCTTCATCGAGACAGGTATAGAGGGAGGCTAACAGAAGTTTACTTAAACAAATTTTATTTTCTAAATGCAAAGCCTGAGCCAAAATATAGTAGTATTTAGGAACCTGGAGAGAAGGGGTGCAAAATACACAGGCAGAGAGCCAATACATCAGGAAAGCAATGTGTTCTGAAGTTGAGACAAGAGTATTGGTTTGTCCCATGTGAGCAGTGATAAAGGCCAAGTAGGTTTTCTTATCCCAAGATATCGAGGTTTCCTTAATCGAAATCTCTTCCTCGAAAAGATCGGGATAAAACCTATCCCCAGTAGGTGCTAAGCCCGTAATAGCAGCGATATCGAGCAGGGTAGGACATACGAAACCACAAGGAAATTCGAATGCTCGATTTTCTCTATTCCAAAAGATTATAGCAGACAGAAGCATTTGGGGGTCGAAGAAATGTAAATCAAACTTAGCCAATTGAATGAATTTAGAAATGCCAGTTTTTACCCACTTAGAGTGCATCGAATTTTCTACACGAGTTAACCATGCTAAGTGCCTATCCTTGGTAGGAGGAAAATCCCTAAAGATCTTGGTAGTATCTCCAAACAACGACAAATCAATCTCAGCAGAATGAATGAAAGGAAAGGTAGAAGAGTCCTCAGGCAATAAAGTATTACCAAACTTTTTCTTGTTTTGACCAGCAAACGGTCCTGAGAAAGCATGAATGCTACCATTCTCAAGAGAGAAAGGAAGAAGTACCTGGGATTGGAAAATTTTGAGGCTTGCCTCTTCCATGCCCGGAATGGGGACGAAGGTCTCATCTCCGTCTTTGACGGTGCAAACTTGGGAATTGGCCATCAATAAAAGGGCAGTTTGAGAAGAGGTTGTAGTGGCCATTGTAGGAGATGATGTAGAGGCCATGGTTGGAGATGATGCAGAGGCCATGGTTGGAGAGGATGTAGAGGCCATGGTGGGGGAAACCACCGAAGCTACAACGGCAGAAGTGGACACAGCAGAAGAAGCCATTGACAAACAAAAGCAAAGAACTTGTGAATGAAGGAATGGAAGAAAGGTGCGCAAGATCGCCGGAGGAGAGTACCAAGAAGCAAAGCAAGAAGAGAACCCAGAGAAAAGAAGCTTGTGCGCAAAGGAATTGAAGTGGTGAAGGTGATTTTACCCTAGGGTAAAAAGAGTCTTAAACAAGGTAAATGGGCCTTAGGTCAAAACGGGTCCATGTTAATTCAATTCAAAATATTAAATCACATCAATTCAAATCAGTCGCCAAAACATTTTTTCGGACAAACCTATGGGGAAACGGAAGCGCGCACTATCAGAGCCATTAATGTCACAT